ACTATTCAACATAGTGCTGGTAGTTCCAGCCAATACAATCAGGCAAGAGAAGGAAATTAAAGGCATCCAAATAGCGGCAGAGGAAGTGAAACTCTCCCTCTTTGCCAATGATATGATTTTATACTTAGAGAACCCCAAAGACTCAACCACAAGACTCCTGGAAGTCATTAAAAAATATGATAATGTCTCAGGATATAAAATCAATGTCCACAAATCAGTAGGCTTTGTATATGCCAATAACAGCCAAGATGAGAAGGAAATCAAGGACACAATACCCTTCTCAGTAGCTCCAAAGAAAATGAAATATCTAGGAATACACCTCACAAAAGAGGTGAAGGACCTTTATAAAGAAAACTGCGAATGCCTAAGAAAAGAAATAGCAAAAGATATTGGAAGAACATACCACGTATATGGCTGGGAAGAATCAACATTGTTAAAATGTCTATAGTTCCCAAAGCAATCTACAGATTTAATGCTACTCCTATTAAAATACCAACATCATACTTTCAAGACTGGGAAAAACTAATTCTTCATTTTGTATGAAACCTGAAAAAAGCCCATGTAGCCAAGGCAATTCTTATTAATAAAAACAAATCCAGAGGCATCAGTCTACCAGACTTCGGGCTGTACTACAAGGCCATAGTGGTCAAAACAGCATAGTATTGGCACAAAAATACAGACATAGACATTTAGAACCAAATAGAAAACCAGGAGTTGAAACAAACATCTTATAGCCACCTAATCTTTGATAAACCAAACAAGAACATCCACTGGGGGGAAGACTCCCTATTCAATACATGGTGCTGGGAGGACTGATATCCACATATAAAAGACTGAAACTGGACCCGCACCTTTCTCCACTCACAAAAAATAGACTCAAGATGGATTAAAGACCTTAATCAAATGTAGAAAATAATTAAAATCCTCAAAAAAAGTGTGGGGAAAACACTGAAAGCTATCAGCCTGGGGAAGGACTTTATGAGGAAGACTTCCATGGCAATCGCAACAACAACAAAAATAAACAGTGGGACTTAATTAAACTGAAAAGCTTCCGTACAGCTAAGGCAACAACAACCAAAGCAAACAATCTACACATTGGGAAAGGATATTTGCATATTTTGATTCAGATAAAATCTTGATAACTAGGATTTACAGAGAACTCAAATTAATAAACATAAAAAGTGCCAACAATCCCTTAGATCAATGAGCAAGAGAGATGAATAGAACCTTCTCTACAGAAGACAGACAAATGGCTAACAAACATGAAAAAACGCTCATCATCCCTAATTTTTAGACAAATGCAAATCAAAACCACCCTGAGATATCATCTAACCCCAGTGAGAATGGCCCTCATGGCTCAGCGTCTGTGGCTCAAGTGGCTAAGGCACCAGCCACATACACCTAAGGTGGTGGGATCAAATCCAGCCCGGGCCGCCAAACAACAATGATGGCTGCAACCAAAAAATGGCTGGGTGTTGTGGCTGACGCCTGTGGTCACAGTTACTTGGGAGGCTGAGGCAGGAGACTCGCTTGAGCCCAGGAGTTGGAGGTTGCTGTAAGCTGTGAGGCCACGGCACTCTACCCAGGGGGATAGCTTGAGGCTCTGTCTCAAAAAAAAAAAAAAAAAAAGAGAGAGAGAGAGAATGGCCCTCATCACAAAGTCTAAAAACTGCAGATGCTGGGTAGATGTGAAGAGAAGGGAACACTTTTATACAGCTGGTTGGACTGCAAACTAATACAACCTTTTTGGAAGGCAGTATGCAGAACCCTCAAAGAACTCAAGCTAGACCTCCCATTTGATCCTGTGATCCCATTACTGTGCATCTACCCAGAAGGAAAAAAAATCCTTTTACCACAGGAACACTTGCACTAGACTGTTTATTGCAGCTCAATTTACATTCACCAAAATGTGGCAACAGCCTAAATGCCCACCACCCCAGGAATGGATTAACAAGCTGTGGTATATGTATACCGTGGAATACTATTCAGCCATTAAAAAAGATGGACACTTTACATCCTTTGTATTAACCCAGATGGATGTGGAACACATTATTCATAGTAAAGTGTCACACCAATGGAGAAACAAGCATCCTATGTACTCAATTCTGATATGAGGACAATTAAAGTCCTAGTGCACGGTGTGAGTTGGGGATGGGGAGAGCTGAGAAAAGGAAGGAGGTAGAGGATAGGGGAACAAGGGGAGTGGTACACCATTTGGGGACAGGACACAATTATAAGAGGGTCCTTATCTAACAAAAGCAATCAATATAACATGGGTTTGTGTATCCTCAATGAATCCCCAACAATAAAAATAAAAAAACAGACTTCCAAGAGAAAAAGCAAAAACCCAAATCAGATACATATGATGATAAGCTTATCAGTGTTTGAGCTATATTGTACACAATGGGGTGTCCCAAAGTCCCCAGAAAGATGCCATATATAAGGAAAATGGGAAATTGTAAATGTACATTTACAAAATATTCATTAAAAAATTTTACAAAGAGATGGCCAGCACATACAAAACACTTTGTGAAATTCTGTATTTGGGGGAGGTTATTATTTGAGACACAATTGTAACTCTATCACCCTTTGTAGGTTGTTGTGGCATCATGATAGCTCACGACAACCTCAAACTCCCAATTCAAGCAATTCCACCTGCCTTAGCCTCCCAGTGTGCTAGGATTACAGGTGTGAGCCCACTGCACCTGGCTTTGTCATGAATATTTTATAAATAAAGGTACATTTAGCTACAATATCCAATTTTCTCCTATGTATAGAGAATTTTGGGACACCCTGTATTTTAAGATAAATTAGCCGCTCCTTATGGAAAGGTGGAAAGCTTCAAAGTGTATGTATAAAAATGGCATACCTGATGGAAAGCATAAGGAAATACCCCTCTAATAATGTATTTGTTACTCTAGCATATTTAAATAAGGCCTCTGGTTGGAACTAGAACTCCTCCAAATTCTACATTCTACAAAAATGACTCATTAAGTTACAATTATCTAATAACACCTACATATAGATGTACCCTCAATGTAGCTACTACATTAGTGCTCAGTAAAATCATCCTATTCATATTCTGTATTTTTACTTTTCTTTCTATAAAACAAAATTGCTTTATCTTCCTGATCAAAGCAAACTCCCTATGAATCATGTGAAATTTTCCAGTGGGCAGCTGATAATGCCAGAACAGTTTTAATTATGTGCTTACAAAAGACCTATTCTCACTGTATATGAAAGAAAAGGGGAAAACTACCTCAGCACTGTTCCTGGGATTAAATTTTTTTCTTTTTTTTTTTTGGCCAGGGTTGGGTTTGAACCCACCACCTCTGGCATATGGGGTTGGCGCCCTACTCCTTTGAGCCACAGAGCTGCCCAATTTTTTTTTTTTTTTTAGATACTTTCACTTTGTTGCTCTCAGTAGAATGCCATAGCGTCATACCTCACAGCAACCTCAAAACTCTTGGGCTTAAGTGATCCTCTTGCCTTAGCCTGGGACTACAGGCACCCACCACAATTTCGAGCTATTTTTAGATACAGGCCCTCACTCTTGGTCAGGCTGGTCTCCAACTCCTCAGCTCAGGCAATTCACCCGCCTTGGCTTCCCAGAATGCTAGGATTACAGGTATGAGCCACCATGCTCAGTGCCAGGGATGTATCTTACACTTATTTCAGATCACATAAGAAATGGCTATGGTCAGATTGAAGGATAACTGTGAGTTAGCATAACTTTAAATCCAAACTCTATCACAAAATTAAAACCATAAAAAGTTAAAAGTGCTTCTATATTTCTGTATTGTCTCTGCAAAAGCACACTACTCTTCATTGTTGATGTAAATATTGTGGTAGTTACATTTTTAGAATTACATACGCTGTGGAAAAAAGACTAAATGCAAGAATATTATAAATCAAGAGATTTATTCATAACTTTCTTTTCTGAATTCACTTAGAAAACAATTCCCTGCCTCGGTGCCTGTGGCTCAAGCGGCTAAGGTGCCAGCCACATACACCTAAGGTGGTGGGTTCAAATCCCCAGCCCAGGCCTGCCAAACAGCAATGATGGCTGCAACCAAAAAATGGCCAGGCATTGTGGCGGGTGCCTGTAGTCCCAGCTACTTGGGAGGCTGAGGCAGGAGACTCGCTTGAGCCCTGGAGTTGGAGGTTGCTGTGAGTGTGATGCCATGGCACTCTACCCAGGGAATAGCTTGAGGCTCCGTCTCAAAAAAAAAAAAGAATATACTTACTGTGCTTGGAACTTCTTCTGAAAA